TATATTTAAAGTATATATATATACTAAAAGTATTTTAATATATATATAATAGTAATTATATTCCTTAAAAAGGAACTTAATATATATAAAGTATATATATATTTAAAGACATTATATGTTAATTAATAATTATAATTTTATGAATTAATTTAATTAATTATATGAGTTTGTCTTTAATTACTGAAAATTAAAAAAATAAGTAGGTTTCAAAACTATTCTATGTTCACAATTTTTCTTTAGGTTTATATATTATAAGTATATAAAAATAAAAGTATATATATTATAATTAATAATTTTATAAATTATAATTTTTTTAATATTAACATAAAATAGAAAATAAATATGCTTATATTTAAAATATATATTAAAATATTTTAGTATATGTATAATAAGAATTATATTTCTTATAAATTAACACAATATATCAACTATATATATTAAAAGATATTACAAGTTAATTAATAATTATAGTTTCATAATTAATTTAATTAACTATATGTATTTGTCTTTAATTTTATGAAATTAAAAAAAAAAGTTAAATTCCAAACATAGTCAAATCTCAAAAGCTCTCTTTAAGTTTATATATTATAAATTTATATAAACAATGGTATATATACTATAATTAATAATTTTATAATATTAATACAAAATAAAAAATAAATATATTTATATTAAAAATATATACAATAGTAATTATATTCTTTTAGAATATGATATGATATTCATATTATTTGAATATAATAAATAATTTAATATTTTTTAATTTAAATATATTAATGTCACTATGTTAATAATTAAAATAATCATACTTTTTATATATTTGTTAATTTTTAACAAAAAGAATTACTTATAAAATTGGTATAAATTATATAGTTTTAATTTAATTATTAAAATAATAATAAAATATTTTATAAATAATAATCGAATTCGAGTAGTGAATATTCAAAGAACGGTGCTCGAACCATGTCCGAATCGGATGCGAGTAATAAAATCATTATCCAAATTTATCTCAAACCTGATTATAAGATATTCTAACTTTATATAATCGAGCTAAATATTCATAAATAATTTGTAACAGATGCCCGTTGCTATCTCTAACCGAAATCAAAATCTTGATTTCAGTGCCTTAAAACAACCAAAACAACAAACTGAGCTAAACACACAAGCTAATATGGCATTACAAAAGAAAAAACAATAAAGTAAATAAATCGATAGACAAGGCTTTAAAAACAAGTTATATGTACTTACATTGTTCGCTATCAAAATGGCTAAGCGATCATTGTTCGTACATTACAGTCTGGTTATCAAAAATGTCATTGTTGATCAATTTCTGAAATTTCTTTTGGTTCATGATTGTGCTTTTATTAGTGGTAAGAAAAATTCTAAATACCCTGTAACATCTGATAATACATGTGAATATACTGCTTGAATTTGAAACCCTTGGAATATATCAGATAAAAACAATAGAAAAACTAGCATTAAAAGTCTGAAAGTGGGAGTTTCCTTTTCACTGATGCCCCTTTTTTCCTCCCAATTCTGTTAAGGGTGATGCTTTCGGTTGATACCAGCTCTTATCCACCTTAAGATTCTCACAGAAACTTCTCTTTCTTCTTTTGGGGTGCCAACTAAAGTGCCGAGGTGACAATTGTGTTCATAATTGGACAGCATTTGTGGTTGGAACAAAGGATGATAACATTGAGTGGTGCGTAGAGCCCCTGGCCTGGGATGGAGTGATACTTACAAAGTAGGTGAGTTGACAACACAAATTTGTACACAAAGAAATGTTGTTTTATGCTCGTGGTTCATTTGGGTACAGAGATGGGTCAGAACAGATTGCTCTATTTGACAGTTGTCTTTATTCTTTTGGAGGGGGACATGGAACATGTGCATGCAGTCACAAGCAACTACTGATCTGCTGGAGAGAAGAAGTGATCCCGCAAATTTTTAGCTTAGGAGATAGATGTATACAAAGAGTGCTAATAATCCGTACAGATTGACCTATTAGCCTGGCATAATTTCTCTGTAAATTAATATGAAGTTTCCATAGGATAAGATGATGAAAATA